GCTGCAGATAAGATAAACATTGCCATGATGATCGCCAACATTCATAACGGATAGGCATATCAACACAACACCAGACTGGTTTTTTATTAACAACAATTAAAATCAGAGCCCTACTTGGATATGATTATAATTATAATAAATTGTTTAAGTAAAATTAAATGACGAATAATGACTTATTATCAATGAAAACTCCTACCACTTCTCAAAGTAATCCAATGTACGCTGCTGTTGCATCTCAACAAACCAGTCCAAAATTTCCACTAAAAGAACAAGCCATCATCTTTAGTTTAATTAATGGCGCAAAATTGCAAGATTATCTATTGCAACTAGGACCACTCGTTCAACCAAAACATATTATTTATTCGTCAAGAATCTCTAATAATCGAGTATGCATTTATCTTTCCAGTAAACCTGTAACTGATGATTTTTTCAATAAAACAGGATCCATAAAAATTAGTAATGAGATACTTCCAGCACGTAGACCAATTATTACATCAGAATGATTTCTCTTATCTAATATTAGTCCTACAATCCCACACGAAATATTGAGCAATCTTCTCAAAAACCTTGGCTTAAAATTGATGTCACCAATAACGCGTTTGAGAATTGGATCTACAAATCCTGAATATAGCCACATACTCAATTTTAGGCGTCAAGTATACATGGGAAAATATAACCATATCTGAATTTCTCGTGGTCAATCATGATAAACTAAATTCTAAATTCTTCTAAATTCCTCTAAAGAGGTCGAAATACGTATAAGCGTCTTGCCGCCGCTCTGTATTGAAAGAAAAATCTAGTACCGTCTTTATATTTTATTTCTTTCCTGCGTTTGGAGTACCAGAATCTGAATTCACTACGAATTTTGACCATGATAAACGGCATTTGGAATCCAATCTTAGATTCCCTTGCCGAGTAATTTATCAAGCTGTTCGCTTTGCAAGTTTTAGAAAACACAGTGGTAAAGATTTGAATTCGATTTCGCCAGGTAGAAATCGAATGATTTCTCTTTTTGTTATTAGATGGTGTAGTTACGTCCGTATATAGTTATTTTGTAACTATTGTTTAAGACGGGAATAGATATTGTTTCGATCCAGAGAGTTGGCTATGCCGCTTTGAAGAGACCTAAAGAAGTCGAAATACGTATAAGCGGCTTGCTGCCGCTCTGTATTGAAACAAAAATCTAGTACCGTCTTTATATTATAAACTAAATTCTATTTCAACTTCTAATCCACCTTACAATATCACTTCGCAAATTTCCACATCAGACAGCCACGATACTAGTTTAACAATTCCACTTCCAATAAATTTGATGGAGGTGTCAAATCTAACCCTTTCAATAACGAAAAAATCAACAGAATCAACCATAAGACATCTATCGCAGACCCCATCTCCAACAGAAGAACTAGCAACTAACTTATTTTACAAAGTATGTTATAAAAGTAATTCTACATGCAAAAAAATAAGGGCCGATATCAATTCTGCACCTGATTTCTAATCAAAAATTTCAAAATCAAATCGATATAACATATAAAGTAACAATAGAAACCGAAGAAGCTGCTAAAATATTTATCAATAAACGGTCAAAATCATATGGCTTAAACTACGATCAATATATGGATTTACTAAATGGGACATACGGAGCTACAACTATAGACCTATTGCCTTACTACCTGTCCTATCCAAAATTATTGAAAGACTTACAAAAGTCCGACTTATGTCCTTTCTCGTTGAAAACAACATTTTATCACAAAGTCAGTTTGGCTTTTTATCTAATAAATGTACCAGAGATGCTACGTTTTCTGTACTACATGGGGTCTATCAAGCTCTAAATAATAATCTTTATACTGCCACTGTTTTTTGTGACTATGCCAAAGATTTTGATTATGTAAATATTTTGATAAAAAAAACTAAGTGTCTAGGAAATTCGAGGTATTTCTTTGAATTTGAATTGACTTTGAATCTTACTTGAGGAATAGGAAACAACTAGTTCTAGCAAATGATACTGACTTTAGTCACAAAAGCATTGTATGTGGAGTAGCACAAGGTTCAGTAACTGGGTTCTCTACTTTTCATTATCTTTATAAATGACATCACTAACTTAAAAATTTTTAATATTGCAACGCTTCATGCAATTATAACTTCTGATTTACTTAAAATAAAAACCTGGTCCGACTCTAATTTACTCTCTTTTAACACGGATAACACAGTAGCATTATCCTATAAAAGAGCTCTTCAATCCTTGCTTCTTAATAACAGCCAGATCAGTGTAATTGATTCTGTAAAATTTCTTGGTGTTTTTATAGACCTTAAACCTTTAACACTCACACTGTTTTCTAATAGCGTAAGGTTTAGTGGCTAAATAAGTAGCCGCCCATATTAAGGTTGAAATCGACTTTGATAATTGTCCGAAAATGAACTATATTAGCAATGACAGTATGTTCACATGTTTGGAGTCCACATTTTTAGCCACATTTACTCCACGTGCCGTGCCTATATT